GGGGAAAAAGGGGAAGCGCGGCTATGGCTATGGTCCTGGCTCTTCTTGCTCATCGGTGTTTGCCGAATATTGTGGGAGTCGGGAAAAAACGGAGCGGTTATGGGTGTAGTGCTGACCAGTGGTGCGCGGAGTGGAGCGGTCGAGTGGAAATGGGGAACAGGAAACGGGGAGAAACCTGGGGTGAGCGGAACGTGCGCGCGGGATGTTGGGCACAAGCGCGACACGGAACCTGAGCAGAAGCGCGCAGCTAGGCAGCCCGCCGCGACGACTCACGACGCGTAGACCCCAAGACTGTACACAGCGCGACGATGCGGCACGCGGTGCAAGGGACGGAACGGCAGAAGATAGACAGGGGGGGCGGGCGGGCGGACGGATGGGCGGAACTCGGGGCGGACGGGCGGAACCACTGGCGGACGGGCGGAAGAACGGGCTGGCGGAAGGGCGCGCGGGCTTACAGCGTTTCGAGCGCGAAGAGCTGAGCGACGGCGTCGGGAATGGTCTGCCCCGCAAGGCCTGCGCGGTCCGTGATTACCCTGGTAATAGAGGCGAGCGGGCGAGACGGGCGAGACGGGCGAGATGGGCGAGATGGCGGAGATGGGTGAGAGGGAGTAAAAGACGGTAAGTAGGGGTGACAGGTGGAAGGAGTGCAAGTGGTCGCCTTGAAGAGAGCATTACGAGTGCATAAAAAGTGGTGACGTGTCACTCTCTGGCACTCGGAAACTCTGGCACTGTCGTAAACCCGTCGTTTTCTAAGCGGCGTAGTTGCTACTATAAGCGGCGAAGTAGCTAGTAACGGAGTTAGGGCGCGTACATGCTGGTGACTTGGCCCATGGCGTTGCACTTGAGCCCCTCCCATTGCGCGCAGTCGGCGGCGACAAACCACGAGTTTGTTAGCGGAATGTACGGCCCCCACGCGTCCGCAATGGCGCGCAGCGCAGGTTCTGGTCGCGCGGAGGGAGGGAAAAAGGGGGAAGACGGAGGGGAAGGGGGGTTGAAGAGAGGGGTTGGGGGAGGGGGGCGGCGGGAGGGGAGACGGGGGCGCACGCGAGGGGAAGTTGAGGCCGAGACGCCGAGCGCAAGACGGGAATCGGCGCAACGACGAACCGAATGGCAATTGAGTCATCTTGCGGCTCAGTGAATGAAAGGCAAGGTAGAAAGGAAGAAAAAAATAGGGGGAGCAGGCGGAGAGAAGGTCACAAGAGAGGCTGTACGCGTGGGAACAGGAAGACTGGTGTGCGGGAAGGGAAAACGCGATCACAAGAAATAGGAGTGGGGAAGAGAAACTCAATAATTTTGAATGGGCGGGAGAGAGTCTCACGTTGGCTGTTCGCGACAGGCTGTGCGTGGGCGAAGGGGAGCAGGAGGAGGAGAGAGGAGACGCAGAGAGGGAGGGCGGCGAGGAGTTGCCGCGGTGGCGTGACCAAGGGCTGGCGGTGTGGCCCCATGGATCTACCCTACAGTCTACCGCTCAATGTTGTGTCAGCTACGTGTCGGCAGTGCTCGCAGCAGCAGCAGCAGCAGCAGCTCGAAAGGTGCCTGTGCTCGGCGATGAGAGCGGTCAGAAAAGAGGTCGAGGCACAACGGAATACGGAAACGTAGATGTGGGTTCGTTTTGGTCTTGTGAGAGAAAGGCGAAGGGTTCGTGGGGAATGAAGTGCTGAAACCTGGAGTTGTTGAATTGAACAATTATTGTGGGAGCTCGCCTTTGTGTGCGTGGAGAGGAGAGCGACAGTCTGACGCACAGAGGGGGAGCACTGATCAGATTTTGCATGGCTGCCGAGCAACGCCCAGGTTAACCTTGAACGCGGTCGTGCTTCCTGGTTGGGTTGGGTTGGGTTGGGTTGGATTGGACCTATTTAAGCTTGTTTGGATTGGGTTTACGGGCGTGTGGTGGGGTGCGGTGGTTGCACACGATCACACGGGACGAGTTTTGTAATTTTCGCTCGTTTCGCACATCTTCGCAATTCCTCGTTCCGGAAGTACGGTTACCTACCATAAAATTATGGAAGATGGAATCTGGATGGCAATGAGGGCGAGGATGGGGACGTGGCAAGGCAATGCTGCAGCTGGCTACCTCACCTGCCCTACAGAGCGTCGCCTTTCAGTCAGGTTACAGTATTTCGCCAGCTTCGTCTCACCTCGTCAGCCTCACACGTGTGAGAAGCGATTGCTCCTTGTGATTCGTAAAAGCCTGTTTTACTGTATCTGTACACCACCAACACCTGTCTGATACGATATTGCTTTCCCACATCTTCCGTATGGTTGCTTGGTTGCCTGTCTCTCAAGCTGCTTTCCCCGACCGCACAATGGAGCAGTGATTTCCTGCACCAACCTTTCCGCGTCACCCTTGAAAGGCGGGGAGGGCGGACGGGAAAGGGGGAGTGCAACCCGCACTTTGCACAGAAAACATCTGGAGAATGGGCAGGATTTCTTTGCGGCCGCAGGTAGGAAGCGCAGGCGTTTTCCCCCTCAGCTGGACAGAGGGAAGCAAAGAACATGACTGATAAGCACTCGCTAATAAGACAACTGACTGCTGCTTTCAGCTCGAGACCAGACCAGATCGAACAACCAGCCGCTACCTACCATACCGTACCCTCCCATCCCATGTTCAGCGATTGTACAGTTCAGAATGACCCACTACAGTAACGGTCGTGTGGCCAGCAGTAACGGCCGCAGACTGGCTGGTTGGGGCTTCCTCGTTTGGCCTCGCTGCTTCTGTTGCTGCCTCCAATGCATCATTTACAAATGTTGTGTCTTAGAGGCCTTTCCTAGAAGAGTCCCTTTTTCCTTAGCCAGTAGAATTTTCACATAAGTCCTAGGTGTATCCCCCTCCTCTACAGTCCCCGTTTTGGCGGGAAATCTTGCATCTTGACTGGATCATTGCACGAATCTTTGCCAATCAGAGGACGCAAATCGAACCAGTCAGAACATCACCGAAAAAAAAAACATTATTCACTATTTACTTTTGCGGTTGTGATTGTCTGCTTATCTTTACCGCGCTTGTGTCTAAGTCCTGTCGCGCGGTTCCCCGCGAGCTCCGACGACGCAATCTCATTAATCTCGCTTACAGTGTAAAACGAAAAATGTTGTCTGTCATTTCGGCCTTAAACATATTGTTTTTGTATTTTCCTGCCCGTTTGTTCTGTGACACTGATCAACGCGGCGAGCCGTGCGACGAGAAGTTGAAGACAGCGTAGTCCGAATGTACGTATGTGACAGGAAAACACGACTAGTAGCGAAGGAAAATCACTCTTTATGCAGTTGCCCTTATATGGGACTAAAATTTCCCTTTTGCCCCGGGTTTGTGAGGTTCCCACAAAGGCCCGCAGCGCGCGTGTTTTTCACGGGGACTCTAATCGAGAACATTTGTACCCCTGCACGATCATGTTGCTCCACCTCTCCACACCACAATATGCACCACAAGGCAGCTCGGGCAGCTCGAGATCAGGGCTGTCGATATCCCAGGGGGCAGAACTTGAGGCCCTCAGCTGCTGAAATTCTGACCCTGATTTTCAGGGAGGTGACCAAATTTTTGCCCTTAACGGTCACGGGTGCAGGCCGAAGTGTAAACTTGAAATCTGGGCTCCAAAGTGTTGTGTAATTAACTAAACTAAACAACATCCTAGACAAGAAAATCACATACTCTCACTGCTAACTACTCCAGTCAACCTGTATGTCACAACTTCCAACTACAACTACAGCTGCACTACCTACTGCATTTCTACTTACTGCTGACTTCGACACTAGATTGGATAGAAATCGAGTGAAACATCCTCCACCTAGCGCTCTATTGTGCAACTTTTATGGAAAGGGGGGGGGGAGTTAGGGGAGGGGGGTGTTCCGCAAGATTTTGGGGTGGGGGGTTCTGCGGAACCGAAAGTATATCTTAGATTCAGGGGACGGCCCAGATTGAGCACTTAACGCGTCCGGGGAAGGGCTAAACGATGCCCTTAACAGGCACGGGTGCCAATCCGATCAGGCCCTGAAAATGGTCGAGCTGCGCCAAACGTAACCCGAAATGATCAGGGCATTAATGGCAAATGCCCTTGAATCGACAGCCCTGCTCGAGATTCCTTGCGAAATTCTACCATCACCGTACACACCTCACTCACACATTCCTGAATTGCTGTCCAGATTTTATTGTCCACCAACCTCGCTTTCGACCACGCTTCAGGCTGGCCCACGAACTGTACACTAGCTCGATTTCCCGAGCTGGGTCTCTGCCTGAACTGGACTGGCAAGTAGGTTGGTTGGTGGTGCGTGGGTTGCTGTCACGCATGACTCGAACCAACCAAATCGACCAGAGGAAGCTGGCCACGTAGTGAAATAAGGGAAGGGAAAATATGCCATAAGGTCACAGATTCAATCACTAACAACAGGTGAAAAATCACACGAATGGTCACATATGTAGCTCCCGCCAAAAAACTTGAAACTCACCAAAATTCCCGCTCGCATCCCAACCAATCAGCCAACTTTAAGAAAAAAAATCCAATCGGAATCGGATGCGGTTTCGGAACTGACCAGCCCTAAACACCTGGTGAGCTACGTGTTTAGGGTTGATTCCGAAAATGCATCCAGGTTCCTGTTGGATTTCATTTTGTTTTGGCGGGAGTTTCATCTATGACCATTCGCGTTTCTTTTACCAGCTGATAGTTACTGTTTACGTGAAACGTTTTATCAGTTGCGTGAAAACACCCTTTGCAGTGAACGTACCCTATATTATTATTATTATTATTCTTATTATTATTCTTATTATTATTAGTATTATTATTATTATTATTATTATTATTATTATTATTTACCGAAAATGTTATCGAGTCCCATGCTGGTTACGAATGAAATATTTTTCCAACTCATAACTAAGACCATACACATGGGGACATCCCATGGACTTGCTAGGGGCGACTAACACACAAATAAATATAGAATGAATGAAACAAATGGAGGTAGTATCAACTCAATCCACAAGGGCAAGGATCTCGAATAGGTAAGTTCTTAGTTCAAGGCTTCGGTTTGCAAAGAGCCTTCCCCACGTAGAGAGTAGAGGTGGTGCATTTGAAGCCAGGATTGACAGCGTACATTGTGGTGTAGGAACACTTGAACACCTTGCACACTACACTCGCGCACGTGTCGCCACGCACAACAGTGTAGACGCCGTAGCTGCATTTCACGGCACCAACAATCGTGGCATCCACACACACCTGAGCACGACAAAGAAGCGAGTGGAGGAGAGGGGCGAATGAGGAAGCAGGAAAGAGCAGAACAGAGAAGGGGCATGAGAACGAGAACAGGCTTTGCAGTACAATATAAAGAATGGAAGCCATTGAACATCAAGCCACCGTACACAGAGGGTGAAGAACGCTCATTCAGGTTAGGAAAGAGAAATACCTCTTGGCCGACGAGCCGTTGCGACGTGTCAGCACTGCAGATGATTCCGGGGTTGTACTGGTAGAGCTGTGCTGGTGTGATTGGCGGATACGTGTTGATCATCACATCGTTGCACGACTCCCCCGGGTTGACCGTGTAGAAGTTGAGGCAGCTCTGGGGCTGAGGTGTGCCAGAACTGATGCATATCTGCAACAGGAAACCAGTAACAGCAGGACAAAAAATGTTACAGTACATTGAATTTGTGGCTTAACTGTCGCATATCACCACGAAGGGTGTGCTCCTGGACAAGACATGAAGGCTGATACTGCGTTTCTAGTGGCAGCAATGTTGAGAACGGAAATCCAAATGCCAGAGTGGGGTCGGGCTGTTTAACGAGAGAGAGAGAGAGAGAGAGAGAGAGAGAGAGAGAGAGAGAGAGAGAGAGAGAGAGAGAGAGAGAGAGAGAGAGAGAGAGAGTAATCGAGCGACTGACTGACCTGTTGCCCAACTGCCAGTATTCCGCAGTCCAGATCAGGGTTGGTGGCATTGAGCTGCGCCATGGTAACGTTGAACATTGCCATGATTGTGGCGCATGTGTCGCCCTGAGAGAGGAAGGGAGAGGGGAGAAGGGACAGAGGGAGAGGACTTTTGAGACGTCTCAAAAGTCGGCCATGGTAACGTTGAACATTGCCATGATTGTGGCGCATGTGTCGCCCTGAGTGGAGGTGAAGGGAGGGGAGTTGGAGGAAGAGGAGTTAGAGACGTCTCAAAAGTCGGCCATGGTGACGTTGGACATTGTCATGATTGTAGCGCATGTGTCGCCCTGAAAACGGTGGGAACGAGGGAGTGAGAGGGGAGGGAGAGAGGGAGATAGAGAGGGGTTCAATGCGATAGAAAGAGGCAGGCAGATGGAAAGCCAAGAGGTAACCACGCAGCATGCTCAAACGGACGAGAATCGATAAGGGAAAGGTGTGACAGTGAAATAGAGGAACACTGTCACCCAGAGCAACAGCACTCACCAGTTCCCCACCTGAGCAACAGCACCGACCCGAGCACCTAACTGAGCACTCACCTGAGAACCCACCTGAGGCACGGCACACACCTGGGCCACCGTGTAGGGTACGATGCAGCCAGTGACATTGGCGCTGGTCTGGTTGGTGTTGCGTGTGACAATGACCGTGCCAGGCGGGAAGGTGCCCGCACACTTGAGCTTCTGCAGAGGGGAGGGCAGGGAGGGAGCGCGGGCAAGGGGCAGAACGGGTAAGTTAGGACTTAATCACAACGGGTTTATCTGTGGTGAACGGCAAACGGAGATGGCAATGGTGAGTGCAACAAGGGAAGCCACGAGGGTTGTTGCAGGGAAGATGGAGCAGACAGACGCGGAAAGAGAGCGGGGTGCGAAGCGAAGGTAGGAGAGAATACCGGGTTGAGCGGTAGGTGGCTTTTGATAGAACATCCGCCAGGAGAGCCGTGTTTTGAGTCGACTCAAAGCATGTAGGTGGCTTTTGAGGCACGACAGAAGCAGCAGAGAGGAGGGAGGGAGGGAGGGAGGGAGGGCACGGAGGTGGAGAGAGAATCGAACGGAACGGAGGAGCGTACAGGGTTGAGCTGTATGAATGTCGACCGGGAGAGCATGTAGGTGGAGCGGATTTGACTGCACGTCATGGCTGCTTGCAGGGTCACGTTGGCCGTTGCGCCGCCTGGAATGCACGTGGCAGAGCCGTCTGTGCGTTGCCCGAGAGAGTAGCCCGGCGAGCAGAGGCACGAGTAGCCGCCCTTGTTGTCGTCAATGCACGTGCCGAAGCCGCACGGGTTCATTGCGAAGAACGCGCAGACCTTGGCTGGAGTGGTGGGAGGGGGGAGATGGCGGAGAGGATGGGTGGGAGGAGGGAGGGAGAAAAGGACGCAGCAGGGGAGAGAGAAGTTGAGGACACGTGCAGTGAAGAAGATGGGAAACGGATGTTAAACTGCACGGCACCAGGAATCCAAGAGGGCTAGAGATAAGAGCTGGAAGGGCTTCACAAAGGGATGGAGTGTCCCTTTGAGAAAAGGGGACGGACAGCAACTTCTACCAGAAATGAACACAACATTAACTAATCCCAAGCCTCCAAGAAAAGAAAAGGAAGGAAGAAAGAAAGAAGACGAAAAAAAAAAAAAAACACACACACACACAAACACACAAAGAAAATAGAGAGATTGTGGCATACCCAGAGCACAGGACTGTGTCCGATCAAGATTGGTAACGGCAATGAAGTTGGCAGGGCACGTGCATTTGTTGCGCTGGTTCTTGTTGCCTGTAACCGGCGTGCACACACCCCCTCCGCATGGGTTGATGGGCTTGCAGGGGTCGGGGGAGACAATGGAGGGGTAGAGGCCTGGCAGGGTGTTCATGCCGCAGATGCCGGGGCCGCCCGCAATGGCGATCTTCATGTAGCCATTCTCGCCCCACGATGGGCCCCATGAGTTGCGGATGATCCAGTGGGGCGTCGCGTCCAGCAGGTTGAACCCCACCACCACCACCAGATGGTCCACCAGCCGCGTCGCATAGCAGTTGGGATCCGCGTACACGTAGCCCTGGGGAGGGGAGGAAAAACGAGACGGGGGGGGGGGGGAAAACTGCGGGTTTCATTATGTGAACGGTGGCGAAATTCATAAACTAGAAAAAAAGAAAGAAAAAAAATTGTGTACGTAAAAGGAGAGGGGGGGAGGGGGAGGGAGAGAGAGAGAGAGAGAGAGAGAGAGAGAGAGAGAGAGAGAGAGAGAGAGAGAGAGAGAGAGAGAGAGAGAGAGAGACGCACCCCAGTGTAGTTCATGAACGTATCAGCCCGCGCCTCAATGTAAACCACCACGGGCTGCTGCTGCACGGCAATGGCCAGGCCCAGCCACCCGCTGATGCCCACGCGCTCAAACATGGACACGGAGTAGGCCGAGTTGGGCATTGGCACCGACGCGGCCGGCGGCGCCTTGGCAGCAGGACCCGACCAGAAGGAGGGCAGGAGAAGGCGGTCGAGCGTGTGCGAGAAGGTGTTGCGGACGACGGCGCTGTTGGGATTGGCGTTGCCGTTGGCGTTGGTGTTAGTGTTGCCTGAGTTGAACAGATCCGAGAGGAGACGGCGGGTGGGATTGACGGAGAGCAACCGCTTGCGAGTGACCCGGCAGGTGCTGTTGTTGGGGACTCCGGTGAAAGGGTAGGCGGAGGAGTTGGGGAGGCCACCGGAAGCAGCGATGTAGTTGAAGGCATCGTCGGGGCGGCCGCCCGCGCAGGACCAGGTGCCCTGGCAGTCGATGGCCTTCTGCTCCGCCAGGCTGGGCGCCGCTGCGCCGTACACAATCGCATACAGCGCCTCTGCCGCCGCCACCGGCGCGAATATCCAACACGCCGCTGCGGAGGGGGAGAGGGAGGGCGCAGAGGGAAAAGCAAGATGAGGTAAAGAGGGGAGGTAGGGAGGGTTGTGAGCAGGTGCGTGCGAATGCTGGGAGCAGCAGCGTGAGCAGGAAGAACAAAAAGGAGAGGTGGGGCGGTGAGAGGCGAGGCACTGACCGCAGAGGCCTTGGTCCTTGGCCTGGGCGAGCGCAGTGGGGACACGAGTGCGCCAGTCGACTGTGGGAGTGATGTTCCACTTTGGGCTGGTGTAGTTGCCGATGAAGCCAAGCGAGGCGTAGCGGAAGTAGGGGTTGAAGTAGGAACCGCGTGCTACTGCCGTGTCGTCCAGATCTGCTCCTCGGAACTCTGTTATGGGGGGGAGCGGAGGGAGAGAGAGAGAGAGAGAGAGAGAGAGAGAGAGAGAGAGAGAGAGAGAGAGAGAGAGAGAGAGAGAGAGAGAGAGAGAGAGAAAGAGAGAGAGAGAGAGGGAGAGAGAGAGAGAGAGAGAGAGAGAGAGAGAGAGAGAGAGAGAGAGAGAGTGCGAATGAGTGAGTGAACAATGAAAAAAGAGGACGAAATGCAATTAGAATCAAAGGGCGAGGCCATGGGCACGAGCAGTCAAGGAAGGGCAAGCAGGAGAGGTGGAGGGGTGGAAGGTTGGCTCACCTCGCCTTCGCCATGTGTTAGCATCGGGAGGAGGGGGAGGAGCTGCACAAGACGAGACACAGAGCAGAGGGAGAGCGGAGGGGAATGAGACACACATGAAAGAAGAGCAACACAGGGAGAGGATGAGCGATGCTAGATGCGATTCGCGAAAACGCACGGAATCCACGGAGTTACAAGGCACAGGCACTCACGAGGAGGGGCAGGGCCTTGGTTGGGCGAGCAGGAGGGGTAGGAGACCTTCTCTTTGCCCACTTGAATGGAGAGCAGCACGTTGAACATGCCGGCGTTGCAGGCGCAGGTGGGGGTGTTGGAGGGGCCGGAGAGGAAGCACGTGCCGAGCCCGCCGCACGGCCCCGCGGGGAGAGCCGCGCCGCAGAACGCCACACACTCGATGGCTCGCCGCTGCGCCCCCACCGGACACCCCGTCCCCGCGCTTGCACTCCCGCCGCTGCTGCCGCTGGTGCCGCTGTTTCCATTCCCATTACTGCTTCCTTTCCCGTTGCTGTTGCTGTTGCTGTTGCTATTGATGTTGCTGCTGCCATACAGCTTCCTGCCCCACTTGCCACTGCCGCTGCCACTCATGCCGCTGTTCCCGTTGCTGTTGCTGTTGCTGTTGCTCAACGAGTTCTTCTTGCTGCTGCTGCTGCTGCCACCGCTGCTGCTGCTGCCGCTGTTCCCATTCTGCCCCGAATTGGACCAGCTGTCTTTAATCTTCTTCCGCTCGTCCAGCGATTTCCCGCCTTCCGACTTCCACCCTCCCCTCCTCTTATCCTCGGTAAAACTCTCCGTCGTGTTCCAGCTACCCGCCAGAAAGCAATTACCCTTCTGGGAGCTATACGGAGAAGCACCCAAAGAGAGGAGAGTGGAGGCGGCGTAGCCGCCTTGCAGGGCGGTGGGGCAGAAGGGGAGGGAGGCGGCGGAGTAGGAGGCGGCGGGGGAGGAGAGGAAGTTGCCGGAGAGGTCGAGCGTGGCGAGGGAGGTGTTGGCCATGGCTGGCGACGCGAAGGATGAGACGGGCGCCCCCGTGAGCTGATTCTCGCTCGCGTCCCTGCAGGGAGGGGGGGGGACGAGGAAGGGAGAGGGGCGAGAGGAGGATGAGGGAAGGGAGAAGAAGGAAGGGGATGCGTGTTTTATTTAAATTCTCAAAAAGTTGGGGCGTGGAGAAAGAAAAGGAAGGGAAGAACGGTGGGGATCCTGTTGGGTGTGAATGCTTGCAGCTGGCAGCGGCAGAAAGAGGCAGACAGTGGTGAGTAGAGGTGGACAGCGGTGGGCAGTGGCAGCGTGTGGTGGCACGTACAGGTGAACGAGCGCCGTGAAGGACCCGAGAGCAGCCGGCAGGCGTCCATAGAACTTGTTGCGGCTGATGTCACTGGGGTCATGCACAAGGCGGAAGGCGGAAGGAAGGGGGGTTGGGGGGGAGAAAGGGGGGGGGGGCGGAAAGGGGAAAGGAAAGAGGGGGGAGGAGGGGAGGGAGGCGAGAAAGGGGGTGGGAGGAACTTCAGGAGGGAAAGGGCGACGCGCGGATGAGAGAGAGGCGTCGCGAAACGTATGCAGGCGCGCGCACTGCAGTGCAGTGAGAGCGCAGGCGCGCGCAGGACGGTGAGAGCAGGAGCGGCGGCAAGGTGACAGTTGAGTCGACTCAGGCGTCGCGACATGCATGCAGCGCAGGCGCGCGCAGGACGGTGAGAGCAGGAGCAGCAGCAGGGGCTTACAGCGCGAGGAGCGAGCTCCAGGCGGAGATGGACTCCGGTAGCACGGACGCTATGGCGTTGCCTCCGATGAGTCTGCGGGTTGCGGGCGGAGGGCAGGGAGAGGGGGACGGAGAGGAGGGGGAGAGGCTTTTAAGTTGAGACGTCTCAAACTCTTCCAGGCGGAGATGGACTCCGGTAGCACGGACGCTATGGCGTTTCCGCCGATGAGTCTGCGGGTTGCGCGCAACACGCGGAGGAGAAGGAAGGGGAGGAGGGGAGTAGGGGAGGACGGGAAAAAGAGAGGCGGGGGAGAGGCAAGGGGTGTGAGAAGCAGGGGAGCAGCGCACGAGGACCCATGGAAAGGGAACGAGAAGGAGAGAAGGGGGAAAGAGAGAGGGAGAGGGGGGATGAAGGAGGGAAAGGGAGGAGGGAAGGGACGCCAACGAACAACCAAATTGGGTGTGGGCGTGCAGGTCGAGAGAAGCACGTGGCGGAGGGAGAGGGGGGCCGGCGAAGGGGCAAGGGCGGCGGCGGCGGGAACAAGGCGGCGGCGGAGGGAGCAAGGCAGCGGCGGTTTACATGTTCTGGAGGGCGGATTGCGCGATGAGGGAGGCGGGCAGGGAGCCTGAGAGGCGGTTGTTGCCCAGAACGCTGCGGAGGGCGGGGATGGGGGAAAGCGGGGAGCGGGGAGAAAGGTGGAAGCGGAAGGGGGGGAGGGCAAAACAAATATCAACGAGGAGAGGAAGTGGACGCGGACGCGAGGAGTACATTCAGACGGCGGAAAGCGGAAGGCGGAACGAGGAAGGCGGAACGCGGACGGCGAAAAGCGGAAGGCGAATAGCGGAAGGCGAAGCGCGGAAGGCGAAAAGCGGACGGTGAAAGTGGCGGAGGCGGTTTAGGTGCGCGTACAGTGTGGCGAGCGAGGTGAGCGGCGCGAAGCTGTCCGGAATCGCGCCCGTCAGGTAGTTCTCGTGCAGGTCGCTGTTACGGGGATGAATCATGGAGGAAAGAAGGGCAAAAGCGGGTGGGTGAGTCGAGGGACTGGAAAGTGCATATGACGGGTTGCACGGAGACCGGATCCATCTTTGCGAGCAGCAGTTTTAGGTCCAGCTCTTGCACTGAGAGATCTCGGAAAACGGAAGTGGCGGAAGCGGACGCGCGAGGCGAGGCGAGTGCATCTGACGCGGTGCAGTGGGACGGCGGCAACGACGTTCGCGAACGCGACGCGCCGATTTTGCAAAATTCGTGCGGGAAGCAAGGTAAGTGCAGCGGGGCGTGCGGCGAGGGGTGCGACGCGGGATGCGGCAGGGGGCGCGGAGCGTACAGCACGCGGAGGCTGACGAGGGTGGAGATGCCCGCGGGAATGCTGCCCTGCAACGCGTTTCCGCCCATCGAGCTGCCGCGGACGGAGAGGGACGGGGAAGGGGCGGGGAAGGGGCGCGCGGAAGGAGAGAGTTGACTACAGAATGAGTCTACTGAGCGGCGGAAAATAGTATTCGCTAGATGATACGCGAAAAAGGCGATTGGAGGAGGAAAATGCCCCGACGGGCGCGGGGAGGAACAATGCTGGGGAGCGGTTGTCGGAACGCGGAACGGGAACGCGCGCGCGGGGGGGACGAAGAGACGGCGGAGGCGAAATAGTGCGGAACGGTTGAGAGTATGAATGGGGGGAGAGGCGGCGTACAGGTTGGTGAGGGCGGAGAGGTATCCGATGTTGGGCGGCACACTGCCCACCAGGAGATTGCGATCCAGAGTCCTGTGACCGGGCGGCAGAGGGGATTGGGGACGGAAAAGGATAACCAATCAGGAAGCAATGGCGGAAATTTGTGACAGTTTCTCTCCGCTTCCCTCCCCTCGGACCTGCCACCTTTCCCACCCTGCATTTCCAACCACCCGCGCCCCCGCCCCCCTCCCTCTCCCTTGCCCGCCCGCCCTCCCCCGCCCCTTCAAGCAGAGACTCCGCCGCTTACAATCGCTGTAGCGCGCCGAGTTGGGTGATGGCGGCGGGGATGCTCTGTCCGACTAGCTGGCGGCGGCCGGTAAACTCTCTGCGGACAAACCGTAGGGGAGTAGAGCCGCGCCGCGGCAAGGCAAAGAGGAAGGAAAAGACGAACGGTGAGAAAAACGCGAGTGGGAAATAAGGGGCGCGCGTAGGGATGTCGATGCGTAGATGCGCGCTTAAATGAGCGGAGATATGGGCGGTGAGGTGCGCGGTCAAATGCGCGGAAAGTTAAAATAGTGTAGTTGAACTGAAGCGTGACAGGAAGAGAGGTGGCGGGTCTTGAATAGGGCAGGAAGACGGAAGTCGTCTCTTGAAGAGGGCATCGCAAAACGTCAAGTGCCAGGTGGAAGGTGTGCTTAATGCGGAAATAGGAGGGGGTTGGCGAGACGCACAAGGAGGTGACTTGGCCCATGGCGTTGCAGGCGAGCCCCTGCCATTGCGCGCAGGTCGGCGTGACGAACCACGTGGCGTTCAGATTGAGCGCCGCGCCCCACACATCCATTATCGCCGCCAGAGCCGGTCCTGGGAAAAGCAGGAATGGGGAAAGGGGGAAGGGGAAGGGGCGGGAAGGGGGTAAGCAGGAATGAGCATGAATGAGAAGGAGCAGAAGATATGGTAATAATAATAGTGTGCGCTTCTCATCACGTATTCGCGAAGAACGCGCAAACGCACGAAAATCTCGGTAGCTGCCCTGATCGTACCTACAGTCTAGCTAACAGCGCGTCGATGCGAGAACGGAAGGGGTGAAAGTTGAAAACGGCACCAGGAAGCGGCCATGGGGCCGCCGCAAGCGGAAAAGAGGGTGAAAGATATAAAAGTGTCCTCACGTTGGCTGTCTGCTACAGCTTGCGCGTTGGCGGAGCGGAGTGGACATAGCAAGCACGCGCTTGACGCGACGAGCAGCAAGAGGACTGCAAGCGTTGGACTCCGGCACCGCGCAGACAGATGGGAGCTATGGTAATTAGTAGACGATCGATGAGGTATTACTAGCCGACGATGCGAGCCCATTCTGGGCGATCGGACGGTTGACGACAGGTGAAGAAGCGCTTCAGGAGTTGTGAGGTAAGGTAGCAGCTACCTAGGAACGATGACGAAAAAAATAATGGGAGATCAAGCCCAGGAATAATGTTAATGCCTATCGTACATTGCAATGACAGCTGCCAACAGGAATCCTATCAGTACTCAACCAGGTGGATGTGCGCCGTAAAGCTAGTCTTATCTAGTGATTAGGTTCTAAAAAGTGTGGTCCAGTGGAAGGCAAGATGCACTGTCAGTTACTGGAGCCAGTAGTTCTAGTTGCCATCTAAACGGAGTGTGTCCAGAAGACAAGGTTGGACAGAAGAGTTGAGGCCTACACGAGCCAATTTCTGTTAACACGCTGGATGGGTGGATTGTGTGGTGGAAGAATGAGGGAGGATGTGGGAGCCTGTTAGCTGAAGGTGCAGCGAGGAAGGGAGCAACTGTTTCTAGGCACTAGGTATTTGTTATACACCCTGTCGGAAATGGCGACACGGGGGCATTGGCTCCCAGCACCTCACACGGTACTGGGTTGTACAAGCTGGTTAGAAGACTACACTACCAGCTTCACAAGCAAAGTTCTAGTACATTCCGTCAGAATGGATGGTGACGCTGGCAGTTGGAGCGGCTGTGGCTGGATTCAGACTGAGAGTTAAAGAGAGTGTGGGTAGGGGTCTTGCATCCAGCATAATGATTGCACGGACAGAAATTAACCCTTTTGCTAACAGTAAGGAGGTAGCACAAATTCTTTCATTCCCTCTCTTGTTCTGTTGTCTCGTGTGTACAGCACACCTGGACAGACGTGTTCTGATGGCGAGGTGGAAGGTAGGACGGAAAAGATGACGGGAAACAGGTGCGGAATGTTGTAGTCTTGGCGGGTTTCCTGGGTGCGCGCGGGGGAAAACGGATCCGACGCAGGAGGTCGTCCTCCACCTCCCTCCGCCCGCTCCGTCTGTACGAGTGATGCTGTGGCGGAAAATCGCAAAGCAAAAACGAATGCCGAAAGTAGGTTGAGCGCAACCAGGATACTGCACCGCACTGCAAATAAAAGCAATCCTACAAGCTCCAGGATCAGGGTTTCAGCTGCCCAGAACCAATACTTTTGCCTCCAAGTTCCCAGACGTGAAAGTAGACAACAAAAGCGGCAACAACCGAAGCCACCAGGAGAATGTGCCACATTAATACCATGTCCGACAAAGGCTTGAAAACAAATTAGTTGCAGTAATAATCCGAGTTTCAGGTGCTTCGACAGGCGAGGCGGTAAGTCGAGCCGCGACACCTGGATTACTGTACCAGCAATCTCGTGGCAGCGTTGTTCTATGCGAACAGGCTGAGGACAGTTAGTGGAACAAAAACAAAGCCAGATAAAAACACGTTTATAATACTACACTTGGACACATAATACTACACTTGGACACATAATACTACACTTGGAAAAACGAGTGAAACAATTAAGCAAATCTGTCATGAACACATAATATACAACCAAATAAATAAAATTGCTTCAAGCTACCCTGCGAAATGTTTCAGAGTGGCTTCGGCTTGCATAGGACCTTCGACACATACAAGGTCGATGAAGAGCATACAAACCCCGGATTGTACGTGTACATCAAGGAGTACAAACATCTGAACACTTTGCACGCAACACCTCCACACGTGTCACCAGACACCACGGTGTAGTATCCATATGCACAATATAGTGCACCAACCACTGGGGATGCATCCACACAGACCTGAAAAACAGCAACACAATCAACATAAGCACAAGATATGTTAATGTTCAAAGAAGAAACTCACTACGGCAGTGCTGCAAAAAAATGTGTTACCGGCACTCACATCTTGCCCAACAAGTCGTTGAGAGTCGGATGAGCATATAATCCCGGGGTTGTACTGGTACAGTTGTGCCGCGGATATTGGAGGGTAGGTGTTGATCATGACATCATTGCAAGTCTCCCCTGGATTCACGGTGTAATAATTCAAACAGCCCTGAGCTTCCGGTGTTCCAGACTTGATACAGATCTGCACAGGCAAAAAGGCACACCAAAGAGGCAGGTGGAAATGGAATGCACGAGGGCTCGATTTTCAGTTCTTTGAGTGCCATTGCACTGAGCTTGACATGCCTATTACAACAAGAGCACCAAGACGACCAATACCAGCAAATGTGTACGCGCAGAAGCGAAGAATACATACACAACAGCAACGCACAGCAACCAGATGCCAAGCCACTTATCCAGGTGACTTTTGAGTGGACTCAAAAGTCACCAGATGCCAAGCCACTTATCCAGGTGACTTTTGAGTCGACTCAAAAGTCACCAGATGCCAAGCCACTTATCCAGGTGACTTTTGAGTCGACTCAAAAGTCACCAGATGCCAAGCCACTTATCCAGGTGACTTTTGAGTGGACTCAAAAGTCACCAGATGCCAAGCCACTTATCCAGGTGACTTTTGAGTCGACTCAAAAGTCACCAGATGCCAAGCCACTTATCCAGGTGACTTTTGAGTCGACTCAAAAGTCACCAGATGCCAAGCCACTTATCCAGGTGACTTTTGAGTCGACTCAAAAGTCACCAGATGCCAAGCCACTTATCCAGGTGACTTTTGAGTGGACTCAAAAGTCACCAGATGCCAAGCCACTTATCCAGGTGACTTTTGAGTCGACTCAAAAGTCACCAGATGCCAAGCCACTTATCCAGGTGACTTTTGAGTCGACTCAAAAGTCACCAGATGCCAAGCCACTTATCCAGGTGACTTTTGAGTCAACTCAAAAGTCACCAGATGCCAAGCCACTTATCCAGGTGACTTTTGAGTCGACTCAAAAGTCACCAGATGCCAAGCCACTTATCCAGGTGACTTTTGAGTGGACTCAAAAGTCACCAGATGCCAAGCCACTTATCCAGGTGACTTTTGAGTGGACTCAAAAGTCACCAGATGCCAAGCCACTTATCCAGGTGACTTTTGAGTCGACTCAAAAGTCACCAGATGCCAAGCCACTTATCCAGGTGACTTTTGAGTCGACTCAAAAGTCACCAGATGCCAAGCCACTTATCCAGGTGACTTTTGAGTTGACTCAAAAGTCACCAGATGCCAAGCCACTTATCCAGGTGACTTTTGAGTGGACTCAAAAGTCACCAGATGCCAAGCCACTTATCCAGGTGACTTTTGAGTCGACTCAAAAGTCACCAGATGCCAAGCCACTTATCCAGGTGACTTTTGAGTCGACTTAAAAGTCACCAGATGCCAAGCCACTTATCCAGGTGACTTTTGAGTCGACTCAAAAGTCACCAGATGCCAAGCCACTTATCCAGGTGACTTTTGAGTGGACTCAAAAGTCACCAGATGCCAAGCCACTTATCCAGGTGACTTTTGAGTCGACTCAAAAGTCACCAGATGCCAAGCCACTTATCCAGGTGACTTTTGAGTCGACTCAAAAGTCACCAGATGCCAAGCCACTTATCCAGGTGACTTTTGAGTGGACTCAAAAGTCACCAGATGCCAAGCCACTTATCCAGGTGACTTTTGAGTCGACTCAAAAGTCACCAGATGCCAAGCCACTTATCCAGGTGACTTTTGAGTCGACTCAAAAGTCACCAGATGCCAAGCCACTTATCCAGGTGACTTTTGAGTCGACTCAAAAGTCACCAGATGCCAAGCCACTTATCCAGGTGACTTTTGAGTCGACTCAAAAGTCACCAGATGCCAAGCCACTTATCCAGGTGACTTTTGAGTGGACTCAAAAGTCACCAGATGCCAAGCCACTTATCCAGGTGACTTTTGAGTCGACTCAAAAGTCACCAGATGCCAAGCCACTTATCCAGGTGACTTTTGAGTCGACTCAAAAGTCACCAGACGCCAAGCCACTTATCCAGGTGACTTTTGAGTCGACTCAAAAGTCACCAGATGCCAAGCCACTTATCCAGGTGACTTTTGAGTCGACTCAAAAGTCACCAGATGCCAAGCCACTTATCCAGGTGACTTTTGAGTGGACTCAAAAGTCACCAGATGCCAAGCCACTTATCCAGGTGACTTTTGAGTCGACTCAAAAGTCACCAGATGCCAAGCCACTTATCCAGGTGACTTTTGAGTCGACTCAAAAGTCACCAGATGCCAAGCCACTTATCCAGGTGACTTTTGAGTCGACTCAAAAGTCACCAGATGCCAAGCCACTTATCCAGGTGACTTTTGAGTGGACTCAAAAGTCACCAGATGCCAAGCCACTTATCCAGGTGACTTTTGAGTCGACTCAAAAGTCACCAGATGCCAAGCCACTTATCCAGGTGACTTTTGAGTCGACTCAAAAGTCACCAGATGCCAAGCCACTTATCCTCCTCACCAGTTGTCCGGCGACGAGAGCAGTGCAATCGAGCTCAGGGTTGACCGCTGCAAGGCCCGTAGTGGCGAGGTTGAACACCGAGGCGATACTGGCGCATGTGTCGCCGGGAATGATGGTGTAGGGAACCACGCACGCGGTCCCGTTGACTGTGGAGTTCCTGGTTACAATCACAGTGCCTGCTGGGTATGTGCCAGGGCACTTGAGCGACTGCAGGGAAGACGAAAAGGGAGGGGAAGGAGGAGGGAGGGTGGAAGGGAGAGAAGAGGATGGAGGGATGGGAGAGAAAGGTTGAGAGGGGTTGAGAGCGATTGAGAGGGGCTGAGAGGGAGGATGCGAATGCCGGCAACTGGTTTGGAAAGTGGAATGTTATTGGCTCCTGCACTGGATTGATTGCCCAAGAGGGGGATAGGCATGAGGGCGTGGGTAGTGGAGTTTGTTAGGGTTTATTGCTTACAGGGTTGAGACTGGTGAAGTTGGCCTTGGAAAGGAGGTACGTAGAGCGAATCTGATTGCATGACATGTCTGCTGGTAGCGTCACCTTCACTGACGTCGCACCTGCGACACGGACAGGTTCCACAAGGGAGAGAGGGAGGGAGGGAGGAAGTGAGGGAGGGAGTGAGGGAGGGAGGGAGAAAGGAGTGAGGGAAGGAGGGAAGGAGGGAAGGAGAGAACACACATAGTGGGTCATGTACGCAAGAAGAGCCAACTGAAGAGAAAAACAAAGAAACGACTTCCAGACCTGGTGTAGCAGGCCTGTAAGATGACTCACCAGGGATGCAGGTGGCAGCGCCGCTTGTAAGAGCGCCGAGCAGGTAGCCCGGAGAGCAGAGGCACGAGTAGCCGCCCTTGTTGTCGTCAATGCACGTGCCGAAGCCGCAGGGATTCTTTGCAAAGAACGAGCACACCTTGGCTGGAGTGGCGGGAGGTGGAGTGGGGGAAGGAGAGACGGGAGAGCGGAAAGGCATAAGGGTGAACTTCTTCCTTCTGGGAAGGTGGGCATGGGAGGGCATAGAAGAAGCACCTGTTTCCTAAAAGTCTTAAAAGTCTTAATGAACGACCTTCACACCTCAATAAGAGAGAAAGGAATGAGGACCCCTTCCGCTTTGACTGCCAGTGGCACTCACCGATGGCGCACGACTGTGTCAGGTCGAGATTGGTAACTGCGACAAAGTTGGTGGGACACGTGCACTTGTTGCGCTGGTTCTTGTTGCCTGTAACCGCCGTGCACACGCCCCCTCCGCATGGGTTGATGGGCTTGCACGGGTTGGGGGAGACGATGGAAGGGTAGAGGCCGGGGAGGGTGTTCATGCCGCAGATGCCGGGGCCGCCCGCAATGGCGATCTTCATGTAGCCATTCTCGCCCCACGATGGGCCCCATGAGTTGCGGATGATCCAGTGGGGCGTCGCGTCCAGCAGGTTGAACCCCACCACCACCACCAGATGGTCCACCAGCCGCGTGGCGTAGCAGTTGGGATCCGCGTACACAAAGCCCTGAGAAAAGAAGTAGCAGAGCAAATAAGAGAATGGGAGGTACGGTAAGGAGCCAATACAAAGAAGCATATGTTGTATATGTAGAAAGGATCACAGCTGAAAAAGAATCATGAAGAAGAAAAATCAAACAAACACGACAGAGTGGATCTGGCCCAAGCGTCTGTTAAAACACCCTAGCCAAGGGCAGCAGATGCTGTGAAGGAACTTACCCCAGGGTAGGTAACAAACGAGGTAGACCGCGCCTCGATGTAAACCACCACGGGCTGCTGCTGCACGGCAATGGCCAGGCCCAGCCACCCGCTGATGCCCACGCGCTCAAACATGGACACGGGGAATGGGGCTGGCGGGAGGGATGGTGTCACTACATCCTTTTTCGGTGCTGCTGTTGTTGCATAGCCCGCTGTTGTCCGTTTGCCGTTGCTGCTGGGGGTATGAGCCTTGAGCAGACGGGAGAGGGTGTGAGCAAGCGAAGCAAAGGAAGTGGGAAACCAAGTCCTTGTCGCTCTCTCAGCTTCATCTGCTTCATTGAGAGACAGCCTGCGAGAGAACACCGACCGCCGCGCAAACCCTGGCTTGCAGGTGCCGTTGTTGGCGACGCCGGTGTAAGGATGCGCGGAGGAGTTGGGCAGGCCACCGGAAGCGGCGATGTAGTTGAAGGCATCGTCGGGGCGGCCGCCCGCGCAAGTCCAGGTGCCCTGGCAGTCGATGGCCTTCTGCTCCGCCAGGCTGGGCGCCGCTGCGCCGTACACAATCGCATACAGCGCCTCTGCCGCCGCCACCGGCGCGAATATCCAACACGCCGAGCACAGCCCCTGGTCCTTGGCCGGCTGTAGCGCCAAAGGCACCCGCGCCCGCCAGTCCAAAGTCGGAGTGATGTTCCACGTGGGGTTTGAGATATTGCCGGTGAAGCCGAGAGAGGAGTAGCGGAAGTAGGGGTTGAAGTAGGTAGAGGAGATAGTTGCTGCTTGATCCAAGTTGGCTCCTCGATTGTCTGGGTGGAATCGTGAGCAGCAGATAGCAACACGGATAGAACGACAAAGAATTAGTTAGGACTTTCGTTATGGCGGGCAGAGGCAGGCAGGGAGGGCCACGAAAGGCAGAAGAGGAACGGAAGGGGATTGAGATGCGGATGCAGTGTAAGATGAGGTTGGTGTGGTGGAGAATGGAAGGAGGAAAGGCAAGGCTCACCTCTTCTGCGCATGGTGGTGTTGTCCACAGGAGGTGGTGGGGCTGGAAGGAGGTGAAGTTAAAGGCACACGCAGGGACAAGGAACGGGAGTATAAGTGGGTGGAGAAACGGAAGGACAGGAGGGGAAAAGGAGGATGGTGAGGGTTAGGTGAGAGGTATGTAGAAACCACACAGAAGAGACCAGGTAGAAAGAGCACCACCAGAGAGGGTGACTTGCAAGGGGAAGGGCAGCAACCAAACCATGCCACCAACAACAGAAACAACAGAAACTACAGAAACAACAGAAACAACAGAAACAACAGCAACCAAACAACAGCAACCAAACAACAGCAACCAAACCAAGGGCTCGAAGACCCCTGGCTACTCTAGACAAATCTCGAACAAAGGCTTTGTTTTTTATTCCAGAGCTTACGAGGGGGAGGTGGACCGGGGTTGGGCGAGTTTTGAGGCGCCTCAAAATCCGCGTGCATTGAGGTGTGTTTTGAGGCGCCTCAAAACAAATCTCGAACAAAGGCTTTGTTTTCTATTCCAGGGCTTACGAGGGGGAGGTGGACCGGGGTTGGGCGAGCAGGAGGGGTACGCGACAAGGCTCTTCCCGACAGTAAGAGTCAACGTGACGTTGAACATGCCGGCGTTGCAGGCGCAGGTGGGGGTGTTGGAGGGGCCGGAGAGGAAGCACGTGCCGAGCCCGCCGCACGGCCCCGCGGGGAGAGCCGCGCCGCAGAACGCCACACACTCGATGGCTCGCCGCTGCGCCCCCACCGGGCACCCCGTCCCTGCGCTCGCACTCCCGCCGCTGCTGCCGCCGGTGTTGTTGCCGCCGGTTGTTCCTGATTTGGCGCTCACGCCACCACCACTGCTTCCTCCTGGCCCTCCCTGCTTTGCATTACCCCTGTGCTTCTCGTTCACAAAGCTCTCTGTCACGTTCCAGTTGCCTCCAAGAAAGCAGTTGCCCTGCTGACTGCTGTAAGGCGAGACGCCGTAGATGAGAAGATTGGCAGAGGCGTAGCGGCCTTGCAGGGACGAAGGGCAGAAGGAGACGAGAGTAGCAGTGGTGTTGGCGCCGTTGCTGCTGCTGCTGCTGCTGTTGGTGGTAGTGTTGGTGCCTTTGGTGGTGCTGTTGGTGGTTGAGGTGGTGGGGGTAGTGGTGGTGGCTTTGGCGGAGTAGGAGGCGGCGGGGGAGGAGAGGAAGTTGCCGGAGAGGTCGAGCGTGGCGAGGGAGGTGTTGGCCATGGCTGGCGACGCGAAGGATGAGACGGGCGCCCCCGTGAGCTGATTCTCGCTCGCGTCCCTGCAGGGCGGAGAATGGAGGAGAGGGGAGAGGGGCACACGCATTGGGGAGAGGTTGGGAGAGGGAAAATAGGGAGGTGATTGAGAAACGGGGGACGGTGGGGAGAGGTGAGATGAGAGGTAGCAGCCTGTGGGTGGCTTCAAGGGGAAGGAGTGTGAAGGAGGAAGGGAATCGCGAGCGAACAATAACGCTTTGCTATGTGGAGGAGGAGGAAGAGGAGGGGGGAGAGGAGGAGGAAGAAGGGAGGAAGGGGGGAGGAATAGGACGAGTACTCACAGGAAGAGAAGGGAGGGGAGGGCGCCCAACGCGGCTGGGAGCCTCCCATAGAAGTTATTGCGACTCACGTCACTGCATGCAAGAGAGGCAAGTGAACAGGAAAGAAAAACGGAAAAAGGAAAACGCAAGGATTGGCAATCGTCATTTGGCATGGAAAGGCGAGGGAGATGAGAGGGGAGGAGAAATGTTGGCGGCGATACGGAATGGCCAGGAAGCAACAACGAGAGGGACACAAGAGGAGGGAGGACGGGCGTACAAAAAAAACGTAGGGGTGCAGTGCAGCGAGTTAGACGAGAAACGAGGACCATGCATGGCTAGTACTTCCAGCTAAGCAGTAGAGCCCTCAAGCATGGCTCCCGATCATGCCACGTACAGTGCAAGCAGCGAGGTGAGGCCAGAGATGGAGTCGGGGAGAGTGGATGAGATGCGATTGCCTCCGATCAACCTGCACATTGCGTGGCAAGGCACGCAGCACGGTACGGCAAGGCGCGCAGCACGTTACGGCACGGCACGCAGCACGGTACGGCACGGCACGCAGCACGGTACGGCACGGCACGCAGCACGGTACGGCACGGCAGGACGGGGCAATGCACAGAGAGGGCGGTTAGTACGGAGCAGGATCGAGCCGGGGGAGATGCTGATTGGGATTTCCAGCCACGGGTGTAAGGATTGACGGCAACGTATGAGTCATTCCGATGGTAGAGTAGCAGAGAACGCAAGGAAGAGCAGTGGGCAGGGCAGAGAGTTGCCAAGAGCTCTATGATGCGGTGTGAGGTAGAAGTGAAGGAGCGGCATGCGAGGAGTCAGTCATTACAGATGCACGAGGTTGGAGAGGCTGAAGAGGGACGCGGGTAGAGGGCCTGTGAGCTGGTTGGACCCGAGCGCGCTGCAGATAGGAACGGAGAGGAGAAAGGCAGGGGAGGGAGAAAGGCAGGGGAGGGAGAAAGGCAGGGGAGGGAGAAAGGCAGGGGAGGGAGAAAGGCAGGGGAGGGAGAAAGGCAGGGGAGGGAGAAAGGCAGGGGAGGGAGAAAGGCAGGGGAGGGAGAAAGGCAGGGGAGGGAGAAAGGCAGGGGAGGGAGAAAGGCAGGGGAGGGAGAAAGGCAGGGGAGGGAGAAAGGCAGGGAGGAGAAATGGAGAGAAGGGAAGGACAGAGAAGAGTGAATGCGGTGCAGAGCGGGGAGTGTTGTGGATTAGCAGGTTCGCTCGCTCTAGGTCCTGAAGCAAACGAGGAGAAGCAAGTAGACAGACAGAATCAAAAGAGATCGAGCTCCGATGGAGAAAGCGTGGAGGTGGAATGAAGGACAAGTACGGAAAGTATAGGGAAGGGTTGCGTACAGAGTGGTGAGGAGAGTGAGAGAGGCAAAGGCGTTGGGAATGGGCCCGGATAAGTCGTTGGAGCTCAGATCGCTGTGAGGGAGCCATGGGGGTGGGGTTGGAGAGGGTGGGGGTGGAGCAAGGGAAGATGTGTGATGTGTGAAGAAAGGGAGAAGGGGACATGGGATGGCGTGCCTTGTCATGACATGGCATGGCATGGCACTTTGCAAGGAATCTCCAGCCAGATGGAGGGGTGGATGGAGAGCAGGAGGGCGGAACGAGGGCGGAAGGAGGGCGGAAGGAGGGCGGAAGGAGGGCGGAACCAGGGCAGAACGAGGGCGGAACCAGGGCGGAACCAGGGCGGAAGGAGGGCGGAAGGAGGGCGGAACCAGGGCAGAACGAGGGCGGAACCAGGGCGGAACCAGGGCGGAACCAGGGCGGAACCAGGGCGGAACCAGGGCAGAACGAGGGCGGAACCAGGGCGGAACCAGGGCGGAACCAGGGCGGAACCAGGGCGGAACGAGGGAGGAACGAGGGAGGAAAGAGGGCGGAACGAGGGCGATGGTGGGCGTACAGAATGCGCAGCTTGGCGAGGGTGGAGAGAGACGGCGGGATGGCGCCCTGGAGAGCATTGCCACTCAACGAGCTGCGGGGGATAGGTCAAGGCGAGGGGGGCAGAAAGCGCAGCGCAGAACGGAACGGAACGGAACGGGAAGAGCAAAAGGGAGGGCGACCGAAATTAGTACGTGAAATGGCGGCGCTTTGGGAAGCAACCTTGGGTGCGGCGAGGACAGTGGATGGTTGAATTGTGGATGGAAGAGAGGGCGATGAGGAAGAGAAGACGGTACTACACGGACGAGCGTGGACGGTAGAGGCGGAAGGAGGGGAGACGCTGGAGGTGGAAGGAGAGGAGAGGCGAGGCGAGGAGAGGAGAGGAGAGGCGAGGCGAGGAGAGGCGAGGAGAGGCGAGGCGAGGAGAGGCGAGGAGAGGCGAGGCGAGGAGAGGCGAGGAGAGGCGAGGCGAGGAGAGGCGATCGGGAGGCGAGAGAGGAGGAGGGCGTACAGGTTGGTGAGGGCGGAGAGGTATCCAATGTTAGACGGCACACTGCCCACCAGAAGATTGTGATCCAGGCTCCTGTGACCGGGCGGCAGAGCGGTGGGGAGGGTGGAGAGGAACAGATGAGTAAGAAGAACATGGAGAGGAAGCAGAGAGAGGAAGGGGAGCGCAAGGAGACGGGGGGGAGATGTAGAACGACGGGGGGGAGATGTAGATGAAGCGTAGCGGGATTGATTCACGTGGAACGACTCGCGGACTGGGGAGGGGACTGCTGGAGGGTGGGGAGGGGAGGGAGGACTGGGGAGATGGAAATTGGGTAAGGTAGGAGATGGGGAAATGCGGACTTACAGCCTCTGAAGTGCGGAAAGCTGGGTGACGGCGGCGGGAACGCTCTGTCCCGCAAGCTGCCGCCGATTGGAAATTTCCCTGCGCACAAAGAGATGGAAAGAAAATGCGGGCGAAAGCGTCAGCGAATCGAGCGAAACCGTGCACGACACGAATGTGAGTATAATTCGAGAAGACATTGGTTGCGATTTCTTTTTTCCAAACTTCTTCGCCAGAATTTTTCGCGATGTGGGCATTGATTCCGCATGACACATTCTCCCGCTCAACGAGTCGCGAAACGATTTCACGACGGCACGGGAACCTCCAGGCTAGGCACGCCAGTTGATTTCGCCAGCCCCAAAACTTCCAGACCACTGTGAAGCGAAGAACTGACAGCTTTCGTTTCTCCGCATAACCCGCACGCTCCCACTGTAGCAATTGCAACCGCAAATCTTCGTAGTGTTTGAAACCTGCGAGGAACTGCGCCGAAACCAATGCTGCGGTGTCTCGTGCACTGCACGATAGCAGGCTACGTAAAACTACTACTACTAGGAACTAGCAACCGCTTTCAACCCCCGAGGTCGGATACACGCGGAGTGCGCGGCTTGAAAAGAAGCAGCGGCGGCCGCGCGTGTGCTTCGGCTCGCCGTTAAATACCGACGCCGATGCGATGACGCCGTTAGTACCACTAACAATGGCTGACGACGCGAAAGCGACGGCGGGCCCGAGGAGCCGTAGATGAGGTGAGCGCAGAGTTAAGAGAATATCTGCGGAATCCCGACAACGATAGCGGGAGTGCTGCGGTCACGGGGTTCTACTACCAGCGAAACCAACACTAGCGACGACCGTCATCGCGACCAGAGTTCTGGTAACCAACCTCACAAGTTCTGCGCGGTGGTCAGCTTACGGCGAAACGTTGCATAAATAAGAGCCATCATGGAGCGGCGAACGGTGCGCAGCAAGTGCGCGAGGGGGAACTCCGCCACTCGCACATACCACGTACGCAGCCTGTGTGCGCAGTAACACATTTGGAAAGAACGCCTTTGACAAACCTACGCCGCTGGAACGAAGCTTCGAAAGAAAAGCAGCTCCCAGCGCGCCTCGCGCAAAGGGTGCTGAGTTGCTGCTGACTTTGAACGCTCGAGTGGCCTGACGCTCACGCAGAGAGTGGTGACTTCGCGTGACAGAGTTGAGCGATTTTCTCAGGGAGGTAAGTCACACACAGGGAGGTGACGTCATGCAGGTGAATTTAATGCGGAGTTAGGAGGAGGAGGTGGGCGAGACGCACAAGGAGGTGACTTGGCCCATGGCGTTGCATGCGAGCCCCTGCCATTGCGCGCAGGTCGGCATGACGAACCACGTGGCGTTCAGATTGAGCGCCGCGCCCCACACGTCCATTATCGCCGCCAGCGCCGGTCCTGCCCAGTGCGCGGATGGGGGGGAAGGGGGTTGTGTGGATGGGAGCTCAAACCGTCATAATTCAAAGGAGTTGTGTGGTTGGGAGTTCAAAGTACTACTAGTAGTACTCTCTACAGTAAGAGCTCGCGCAGTAAGCTACTACGTCACCCTCATAGAGATGCTAGGAGAGACTAGCTGCGGTAGGTACTGGACTCTGCTTTTACTACAAAAGGACTATCATATGCTTGCTGGCAGTGGCCAAGCGATCGAGGGGATTTTTACACTGGAAAAGTTAGCGCTAATCTGCTGCGGCCGATTCCGCGCGGCTAGTGCACTGATACTATCCACGAATAAAGCTGATGATTGGAATAGGGTGTGGCTTACGCTGACTGTCTGCGACTGCTTGGGCTCGTGTGCGAGGAAGCGCTACCGACAAGGCTAGTAGTAGGCATGCGACGAACAGAGCGGTCGAGCAGCCATGCCGCGGCGACGTCCGCCTGGTTACTAGTGTGAGAGACCGTTGATATCGCCGACAGTCCGCCATTATTTTTTTAATCTGTGGTACTACTATCTACGCTAGAATCTCATGTAAGTCAGAGAGCAAGGACCTCGCGACTAAATCTCAGCCGCTGAGCGGTTCGTGTATTTTCGGGCTTTTTCCCTAGGGACAGGGATTGCAATGGTCGACAGCGCGTGGTAGAAAGGAAACCGTCGAAGTTAACGAACGGGTACTAGCTAGAGGAGGCACGTGAACTAGGAGATTGTAAAACGTGAGCGAGTGATTGTTCGTGGTTTTGTGCGGAAAGCTGGCCTTCATGGCCGAGAGCTCTGGATTTGGGGTTGAAGGAGAAATGTTCTGACCGCAGACTCAGGAAGAGAGGCGCACGAATGGCAGGAGCAATTGCACAGCAGACAATGAGCTGGTGCGTGTACTGGGGTTGTCCACATGAATGATGGAGCGACGGGTGGGATGGGCTGGCCTCGGCACGGCAGAGGGGGGCAGAAACGATGTGGGTTGTGGGTTGTGTGGGGGAGCTGTGGTAGGTGGTTGTCTTCTAGTTGTTTGTTAAGATGGGGGAAACTTTCATTTCGAGTTAGCTATTCTTTCTGGATTTTACTTAGGGGATGCCAGTAGTTGTTAGGAACGCGTGGTTTGCCATATTTTGCTCGGTTAAACGAGAGTCTCGTCAAAGTAGCCTGGACAGAATGTCTCCCATCACGGAACTAGAGACGAAGAAGACTTTCCGGAAACCCCCACAGTCATGAGGGAAAGTAGTTTATGAAAACTAAATAAAGATACACCTGGTTAATATACCGCAAGCCAGGTGTATAAGACGATGCGGCAGCAGATATCAAAACCACGTATCGCAACGAGAGGATGAAAGTGAACTCTGGTTGTCTCCCCCACGACACTCAGTAACTTGAAGAATCAGGCCGAGAACTGTACAGCTGAACCTCGGTTAACCTCCAACCATAACTTCAGGAACGGACTCCCCTGCTGTGATTGCATTCACCAGTTTCGGCTCGTGTGCCAAAATTGTTGCACATGAGTGGTAACAGATACCACGTAACTGTTATCGCTGAAAATGCATAATTGCCCTGAAACGGAATGGCGATGTGTGAACATTGGTCGACAACCTAAGTTCGACAAAGTGGTGGCGTTGTCGTGCTTGCTGTCAACAGAGTATTCGGGACTCCAATCGATTGATTAGTGCGGTTGTACGAACTTCGAATACGAGCTAGCTACCCTTCTCTGAGAGTAACTCAAATGTAGAGAGTGGTGCAGGGAGGTACATCTCAGGCGATAAGTCGAACCAGCTGCTTTTCCGACAGTCCGCGGGCAGAAAGAACTCCAACGGTGGCTGACGCCATCCCGCCCGGGATAACATTTGCTGATTCCGGACTTAGATAACAGATTGGGGCAAACTGTTTCCCCCTCTGTCGCAGCCCATAGATCTGGGAGGGACGCAGCTCGACACAGTTATCGGCTTCAGCAAATACTTAACCCTGGAATGACACTGGTGAAAGTGCAAAATTCTTTTGTGACTTTAGCCAATTAAATTTGTATTCCTGTCACTACAATAAACCATACAAACACACAGTGCACATGTGGTCCACCTCAGGAAGGAGCTTATTTGCACATCGCTGATCAGCACCAACGTCTGTCGCAGCTCATCGCTTATCTGTACGAAACTAACCGAAGCGCAGAGCTTGAAAGCTGCGATTCGGTCGCAAAAAACAAACATGCCACGTCGATTCTGACCCACCTAGCCTTGAGATAGAGGGTGTTACACCTAATGCTCGTTAGAGCCCTATCTGGTTGCCTTGTGAACTGGGTCTGTAAGCTAAACCTGCATTTCGCGGGGCATTCGTGAATTTTGTCAGGCGTCCAGCGTGCTTCAAAACTGCACATGGTAACCACCCAGTTTGTCTGATTCGCAACAGTAAGGGGTTGCAGCACTTGTCCCTGTTGTGTGTTTAGGGTTACTAAACGAACGCTACAGTACCGAAACAAGCATGCACAACAATTGTTCTTCGTAGTACAAAACAGTCAAAACACAAACACCTTCCAATCAACATCCTCCACCTGGCCCCTCATCTCCATTCAACACACAAAACGAAACACGCACAAATGGGCACAAGAAGTGAACACTTGGGCTCTCAGCAAAATGCCTTCGACACCTTGCGAAGTCTGCTCCACCCCCCCCCCCCCCCTCACAGACGCATCCATTCAGCCGCGTCCACATACCCGTTCATCACGGCGCCCACACCGGCGTCAAGCAGCTCCTGACGGCGAGACGGACGGGTCATCCAGCCGGGCAGCACACGGCCGCGGGGACGAGGGGTCTCGGGCGTAGGAGTTGCGCCCGGGGAGGGTACGGGCTGAGGCGCCACGTTGAGGTTGAACGACGGGCTCGCCCGCTCCATCCGCGCGATTATGATGGGGTTGCGGATATCGAACAGATGGCACAGATCGCGCGGCGTGATGTGGGTGGCCCGTGCATATCCGATGAGCATCTCGCATGCCACCCGGGCAGTGCGCCGCGCTTCGCGGCACACGGGGTCGGCGTCGTCGTGGACGGCTTGCATAGTCGTCGGCGCCTCCCAGAGCTCGACGTCCAGGCCCGCCTCCGGCTCAGTCGTGGGCTGTCCCGCAACGCCCTCGACGCACGTTGGCTTGCCGTCGTCGATGGCGACGTACTCTGCGACCGTCGTTGCCGCATTCCCGAGGGCGAGCCCGCTAATGAGCGTTCCGACTTCGTCGATGTCGTCGTCGAGCTCAAAGTCGGGGTAGACGGCGGGGGTGGGCTCATCGTCGTGTACATGCGTCAGCTCCAGGGACCACGAGAGCGGCAGACACCCCGTGCGCCACCAGCACCGTTGAATGGTGCGCGCGCCGACGGACATCCACGCGTCCGACAGCCACGCGAGGACATCGCGCAGGTTCGGGCGGAAACGCGCGACGGCGGAAGTCGCGCCGTCGCCGTTCCACAAAGCCGAGAAGGCCCGCAGCCAATGCTGTCGGTAGCAAGCCTTTGCGGTGGCTATGATGCCCTGATCGAGCGGCTGTGTGAATGCGGTGGTATTCGGCGGCAGGAAGACGAGCCGCACGTTGCTCATGCAAGTCGTCCGCATCCCGCAGACGATCTCGCTCCATGCGAGCTGAGAGCGGAGCATGTGGCTACTCGCGTTGTCGAGCAGCACCACGATCTTGCGACCTTCGGCGTACATCGCAGCATTGAGCTGCGATATGAAATATGTGAATAACTGCATGGAGGGGAAGGGAGGGGGAGGTGGAATGTCCATGGGAATGTTGTAAGCACAAACACATTCCAGACAGGTGTGATATTACGCATAATTGGTGCGAAGCATCAAGAACGCACTAAACAATGAAACATGACGAGCTTACCGGCGAGGTCATCCAGCCTTTCGCGTTGTGCCGCCATTAGCAAAGAGATTCAGGGTCATAATCCGGGCGGAAGTCATGCGGCCGCTTCGCCTTACTGATCACGAGCGGTCGGAATACATGGCTCCCGTCAGCATAGACGAGGAATGCCATGGTGAGGCGCTCCTTCGATACTTTGCGGCCGGGAATGCGGCCGTTGCTGTAAGTGCGCCGAGGGAGGACTGACAGCCAGAGCGCCGTCTCATAGAGGTTGAAGGTGTCCCGCGGGGTGACACCGAGATGCGTGAGGAGTTGCGGGGTGTACACCTAGTCTGCCGTACAGTAGTGGACAACGGTTTTGTCGATGAGTTCAAGCTGGTCACTACTGTTACAGATGCATATGGGCTACGTGCGAGGACTGTACTATGGAGGTAACGTGATAGAAGTTGTTACATGTATAATTGTGTTATGAGTGAACTTGGAGTGTGCGAAGATAAAACAAATAACGAGACTTCGATTAAAAGGTTGATGATACAAAGAAAGTGGCTATGCTGAATAGGGGGGATCCTAGCTAGGAAGTAAGTTTGGGCAAAGGTGGCTCGAGAATGTTGTGATTGGTGTTGAAATCAGTAAGTGATCGTAACCAGGATCACCTCAGGAAGGTTCGCACAATTCTAGTCTAGAAGTGGTGGGCCCTTGACCTCAATAGCAGAGTGAATGTAAATGCTTGAGATAATAAAAACGTGCAGTACGAGGAATATAAATATGAGAACAGGGGAATTCAAAACGACCTAACTAGCCATGTACTCTAAGGGGTACATTCCCTTATTGCAGCGAAATCCGACCGTGCGACTCCGAGTGGTTACGTAACTGTTCAGGCAGAATCCTTGCCACTGCTGCTGCCTGATGCTGTCTGCCGGACTGTCCATATGCTCCTCATAACCGTCTGTCCCTTCGCCTTTCTTCTGCCTTTTCGTCTTCACTCTCGATAGTGCGTGCTTCGGCTTTGCTACGGTGAGGAGTGCGCAACAGTGTTTTTCATTAACCACTATTCGTAATACCCCCCTTCACTCCTGGCCGTAGCGAGCATTGACCCGCTTGACTACCCCGCTGAGTTTGGAGCAGTGTTGGTACTGCTAACGCGACAGTTTCTTCGTGAGGAAGTCTGCTGCCATGTCACCCGTTGGGCAGTATGCCAGGTCAACTTTGCCTTTGTCAACTTTGTCCTTGACAAAGAAGTACCGCAGTGCGATGTGCTTGGTGCGGTTGACGAAGCCATGTTTGTTCGCGATCCTGATCGCGCTCTGATTGTCGCAGTGCAGGCGAAAGTTCGTTGAGGCAGGAATTTTCGATTCTTGCAGCAGTTCCTGAAGGTAGAGACCTTCGCGAACAGCTGCTGTTGCTGCGATAAATACAGCTTCCGCCGATGACAGGGCAACCAACTCCTGCTTCTGAGAGTTCCAAGAGATGGGGCCGCTGGGCTCAAGGCGGAAGAGGAACCCTGTCCTGGACTGTCGATTGTCAAGATTAGCGGCGTGATCGGCATCCACATAGCCGACGAGGCTGAAGGATGTGGTTGGGATGGTCGAATAACTAAGCCCGACATTGGGCGTGGAGATGAAGAATTGAAGGGCTCGCTGAAGATCTGAGAGATTCTCAGCCGTTGGTTTGCGTGAGTACTGAGCCAACTGGCTCGCAATGTAGGAAAGATCGGGCCTGCAGGTAACAGATGCGAAAAGCAGGCATCCCAACTGCTGCTGGTAAGTGTGAAGCCCAGCAGGGGACACGACTTTGTTGTCAGGCTTGTGGATGGGTCCTGGAGTACGGTAAGGGGTGGAGAGTGGTGCAGGCGCAATGTTGAAGCGCTTGCTAAGCTCCTCCGCATACTTCGCTGCTGAGAGATGAATGGCTTCTGGCGAGTAGGTGATGTTGAGTCCAAGAAACTGCTTCACGTCATGATTGCAGGTGATGTCGACGCGCCCTACGAGGTTGTCAAACTCTTATGCTATAGTCTGTGTAGGCTGTAGTGGGGTAGACAATATGGGGTACAACACTTCAAGGTTTTCCTACTTGTACCCACCTCTTTGCTAGTTCATTCATTCCTCATTCTTCACATGGTATCAGAGCAGGTTCCCTCGTGGGAATGCTTCTCAGGGCCCACCACTGAACTCGATCTTTTCTTCCTGCCAGAGGCGCGCCCCGTAGGCCGCCCTCACGCCGCGCCCTCCTAGAGGCCCCTCGCGCCACCCTTAGCGGCCCCGTCGCCACCCCTCTAGGCCCCTCACGGCCCCTTCGCGGCCCCGTCGCCGCCCCTCTAGGCCGCGTCGCCGCCCCTCTAGGCCCCATCGCCGCCTCTACCAGCCCCTTCACCGCTGAGCCGCCCAGCAGCTGAGCAGCCGAGCCACTTAGCCGCCGAGCCGCCAAGCCGCCCAGCAGCCGAGCCGCCCAGCTGCCGAGCCGCCCAACAGCCGAGCCACCCAACAGCCGAGCCGTCGAGCCGCCCAACAACCGAGCCGCCGAGTTGCCCAGCAGCCGAGCCGCCGAGCCGCCCTGCTGTCGAGCCGCTACTGTTCCTACCGGCGCGCCCCGGCCCTACTTACTCGGACTGGTGAGATCACTCCCTGCTAGACCACTGCTGTCATGGCTACCCCCAGTGTCCTTACCTTTGATGCTGAGGATCGTGCTGTTGACTTTGAGGTCTGGGTCGATGACCTCCAGCTGTTCCTACAGTGCGATAGGGCAGACGGACTCTCTCTGTTCGATCTCACCTCTGGTGCCTCTCCTGCCCCGCCGACTACAGCTGACAGCATTGTTCGCTCACAGTGAGCCACACGCGATGCTGCTGCCCGTCTTGCTGTGCGTCGCCACTTACCGACCACTGAGCGTGCGCACTTTAGTCAATACAAGAGTGCTAAGACCTTGTACGACGCTGTAGTTGCACGCTAGTCTTCCCCTGCCACTGCTGCTCTTAGCCGCCTCATGCTGCCGTACCTGTTCCCTGACCTTGCTGCCTTTCCCACAGTCGCTCACCTCATTACGCACCTTTGCACTAGTGACACTTGCTACCGCACTGCGCTTCCTGCTGAGTTCTGTGCCAAGAACCCCCCCCCATGTACATCACCCTCTACTACATAGTCACCCGGCTCCCTGACTCCCTTCACTTAGTCAGGGACCACTTCCTCTCAGTTTGCCCCACCACACTCACCGTTGACCTCCTCGAAGAGCACCTCCTAGCAGCAGAGAAGAGCATAGTCGCTGTAGGAGCCTCTCGTGGTGACCCTCGCACCCCCGTCTTTGAGGTTTGTTCCCCCTCCCCCCTCTTGCCCTCTGATGCTTCTGCTGCTGCGGCCGACCTCGTTGGTTTCGAGTCGGTCGGCGCTGCGTCTGCCCCTAGCGGGAGACGCCGCACCGGCAAGGGCAAGGGGGGCAAGGGCACTGGAGGGGCTGGCGGGGGCGGCGGAGGTGGTGGTGGAGGCAGTGGAGGGGGTGGGGGTGGTGGTGGGAGTGGTGGCGGAGGTGGAGGTGTCAGTGGCAGCAGTGGAGGCGGAGGAGGTGGCGGCGGTGGTGGAGGGAGCGGAGGCGGCGAAGGTGGCGGAGGCGGCGGAGGTGGCGGAGGCGGCGGCGGCAGCGGTGGAGCTGGTTGCGGCTCTGCGCAGAGGAGTGGTTCCGGTGGTGGTCCGCGCCAGCAGCAGCAGCGCGCTCGTGAGACCCCGTCCCCTCAGCAGCTTTGTGAGTGGTACGCTGGGCGTCAGCGAGGTGGGGGTACTGGTCCTTGCACCTACGTCCTCCGTACCGGCGACCGCGCTAGTGAGCAGTGCGGGGGCCCGCACTCCACCCAGCGCTGCTTTGGCCGCCTGACGGACGCGTGGCGTCACCAGTTCCCTGACGCCACTGAGATCCCTCGCTGGGGAGAGCTGTCTAGGGCGGGGGTTGCTATCTTTGATCTTGATTATGATGCTATCCTTGCTGCCATGTATGCTGTGTCTACTAGTGATGAGGGTGACTGTTACCTGTGTGTTCCGCCTAACCCGGGCATTGAGGCTGCTGCTCTAGGTGCTGGTGAGGCTGCTGCTCTAGGTAGTAGTGCGTCTGCTGCCCCAGGTGCTGGTGAGCCTGCTCTCTTAGGTACTACGTCGGCTCAGGCCTTACACACCTTCACCCTTGACTCGGGTGCTTCCCGCTCCTTCTTTCGAGACAGCACCACGCTTACGCCGCTTAGTCGGCCGGTTGCGGTCTCCCTGGCGGACCCCTCTGTCCTTGCTAGCTTCTCCACTGTCTTACCGTGTCCGGCAGCCCCCTCTGGCACCCTGTCAGGTCTCTACCTCCCCTCGTTCTCTACGAACTTGGTGAGTGGAGCTGATCTACAGGATAGGGGGGTTGACCAGTTCACTCCTGCGAGTCAGCGGGTGACCCACTGCACGTGTGCTTGGACGGGCCGACACTTGGCCACGTTTACCCGTCGACCAGGGTCGAGTCCGTACACAGTGACTACTGAGTCTCCTCCGGTTGCTGAGTCTGGTCAGGTAGCTGCGTCGAGTCAGGTGTTTGCTGCGGCGTCCAGGTCTGGTCCTGAGTCTGCTCCCTGCTCGTGTCGTCTCTTGTCCCACCAGACTCTCCTTTGGCACCACCGCCTTGGTCACCCCTCCCTGCCTCGTCTCCGAGGCATGGCCTCCCGTGTCCTTGTCTCTGGTCTCCCCCGGTCCCTCCCTCCCCTACCTCCGGGGCCGGCCCCTACCTGCGTTCCTTGGGTCGAGGGGCGGCAGCGCGCCACCCCTCACTCCTCCGAGAATCCTCCGACAAAGGCTCCGCTGCAGACTCTTCACATGGACGTGTGGGGCCCCGCCCG